ATAGTGCAATGCCCATACAGCTGCCAGCCTGATGTGCTTAACACTCATAGGCTAACTCACCAGTGAGCAGAAAGCAGTGGGTTCTATATGAACAATAAAGAATACAAATAACCTTTCACAAACAGCTCTATCATAACTGCTTACAGTAAGGAAGACATTTAAACTATTATTAGCAGTCACAGGCTGCTGTAAACTAAACACTACTCTCTCTGACAGAACACCTCACTGAGTGATTGAACTCATATGTCTAACTTTCAGGTTTCTCTTTTCAGCCGCAGACCCCATGTCGCCTCTTTATGTGCGTCGCTAAGTTCCTCGTACTACTTGTGTACTTTAAAGCGGCTCGGCATCGTTAACAATTTGCGAGCGATTTTTCAAGTTGACCGTCTTTCTTGAAAAATCCGAAGTGTTGCCAAACATTTGATTTGTAGGTATTTTTCGGTGCGCTGTGTTTCTCTTTCTCTTCGACTTCCGTTTGTGTTGATAACTGAGACTCTCGGCCTCCGTAGTGCGAAGCAAAGATCAAAGATCGTCTCTGCTGAGTGCTGACAGGATAAGGGGATATTATATGAATGAATCGTTTTTTTACCGATGCAAAGAAGCTGCAATCGATGCATCGCGAGTTCAACCCAAACTGTAGCCGATGTGCACTCTTTCAACCGGTGCACTCACATCTTGAACGTTTAAGCCGGTGCACCGATGCGAATCGGTGAATCTTAACATCCCTAGTATGTATGTGTTTTTGTGTGTGATGTCAGTTAGGGATTTAATAATGTCCTGTGTGAACTTTCTTCAGACCACAACAAGAAGCACAGAAGATATTCAAGGCTAACCACGGCATGGACACAGAAGTTCTTAAGGCAAAGGTACGTGTTCTTTACACCGCTAACTATCTCATTGTAGATCTGTATTATTCTAATCCTCTGATGGTGCCCTTCTTTCCTGCTCATGTTGCGGGTAGCTCCTGGGACTGGGATCGGCCCTGCTGGATGACGTGGATCCCAACCCTGAGAATTATGTGTGTGCTGGAGTGATCCAGACCAAGGGCCAGCAGGTGGGCTGTCTGCTGAGACTGGAGCCCAACAGCCAGGCACAGGTACAGTGCAACGCTTTGCTCCTGTTTTCCTATAGTCCAGATGATACACGCATATCAGAGCCTCGTTTGCAGCAAATGTTTTTTCGGCAACAACTGAAAGATTTTTGAAATCCTTGTGGATCCATATTTATTATATACATTCACATCATTTAAACATTTGGTTTGTCTATGATTTAACTGTATTATTTATGTATTAAAACATCCATGTATATATATATATATATACACAAGATGTACTGCACTGTCCGTCCTGGGAGAGGGATCCTCCTCTGTGGCTCCCCTTGAGGTTTCTACCTTTTATTCCCCCGTTTACTGTGGGCTCTCTTTGGGAGTTTTTCCTTGTTTCTGCGAGAGTCTAAGGCAGGGATAGGGAACCTCTGGCCCCCGGGCCGTATAGACAATTTGGTACGGCCCTCGAGGTAATTTATAAACACGCAAAAAAGAAAAAAATTAAACAAGCGAGTGCCTGTTTTTCCTAGCCAAGGTCTGGGTCCTTGAACACAGCACGAGCCTAACGTGTCATCACGTGGTATATGTCTCGTCTGACAGGGGTGCAGTTCTGACGGAGAGCACCAGAACGTCGCTCCGGTGTTCCGGATTAACTGGTTTCCCGTTAACTGGTTTCCCGATCAACTGGGGCACAGTTTACATACATCTTTTGTTATATTTGGCTCGGTAGGAAGACGTTGATGAACATTCAGTACCAGTGTGTGAGGTTGTGGTTACGATGGCGTTATCCGGACGCGAACAGCGAGGACTAGAAAAAGAAAAACGAGTTGACAGGGGATCTCTGTTCAAAACATTGCGAGCTCCAATAAATCATTAAAACCAGCTATTGTTTCCAGTTGTCACTGAATATAGTTCCTAATGTGATGCTAAGTCCATCTGAGACCTGTGTACACCTTCAGACAGCCTCCCAGTGAAGCACACGGTGTTTACTCAAAGTTTGAAAGCAGCGTGGAGAAGTCCCTCATCTGTGTTAAACTGTGACCCGCCCAGGGAACTGGGACCCGCCCAGGGTAAACTGTGACGACTACTGTGGCTATCTACCAGCGATCATGTTTATTATGAAAGACTACACACACATGTATCCCTTATAAAAACGGTATTCTGCAGCACTCATCCAGATAAGATTTGACTGTTAACTCGTTTTGCAAAGATAGCAGCAGAAATGTCATTGCTGCATGTGCAGGGATATTTAGACTTTAAAATGGTGATGGGTCATTAATGTTGTCTCGGCAAACAATATTAGGAATCCTCTATTCAAACTACATAATATTCAGTGTGCATCGACATGAAAATAACAAAAAAGTTCATGCTAGACTCAAATCCGAGTCCCAAAAGCAAAGATCACTTCAGCCCTGCGCGTTATGAGTGCGCCACGAATCAACACTTCGTAATAGATCACCACAGTGTAGTTTCTAACATTAACATTGATAACAAGTTCCAGAAAAATGCAACCCGACCATCATTTATAATGTGAGCGAATGTATTTAATTTATGATTCTCCAGAAGGTGTCGTGGTTGTCCGTGGTGCACTCATAACGCGCAGGGCTGAAGTGATCTTTGCTTTTGGGACTTTTGGGACTCGGGTTTGAGTCCAGACTGGGGTCTTCTTCTGGGGTCTTCTTCGCTGCTTTTGGTGTATTTCGGGCGGCAGCAGCGCCACTTACAGGCCTGACATATGTACTACATCGTTTCCAGCATTTCCAGCGGTCTAGTGTGAACGGACACGTTAGTGAATCGAATGCGTGTGAACGGAAGCCTTTTTTGCGCTTGCGTATGCGTTTTACCGTATGCGTCTCTTGGGGCCGGGGTCTAAGCCAAACTATCTCCGGTCACAGAGATCTGCTATTTTAAAGTAAAGTCAACATATAGACCCTAAATATAGTCTATATTAAGAACGAGAAAAGTCTTAACATATATATCCTTTTTTGTAAACATATGACAAATGTGTGAGGGTGATGACGTCAGAGCATCGTCCTATGTGCCAGGGCTTAGCCCCGGACAGCCCCAGCCCAATTTAACCCCTGGGTATTTGTGAGGGAGCTCCTATATGGCATTACCCCGCTGAAGCTCACCAAAGTTTAACATATTTCATAGTTCAAAGTTTTGTCAATTGTTTTGTTTATTGGTCAAATACTGGTTTCTAATGGTTTCTGAGGAGTTTTACTGGAATGAAAGAGCACAGAGTACAGAATCAACAAAGCAGCATACTGCATTAAACCTGACCTTCACAGAGAGGTTGAAGTTCATGTGGAAAGGAGGCTGTCTGCACTCTGTTTAGTTTTGCTATCTTACAATCAATATAGTAAATGTGAGGTAAAGTGTGTTGCCAATGTAACCGGTTAGAACTCAAAGTTGCGATGAGGTCTTAAAATGTATGGAAAGGGTCTTAAAAAAGGTCTTAAAAGGTATTAAATTTGACTTCAGGATTCCTGCATATACCCTGTATACAATACATCAACTTACTATTGAACATGTGACACAAAAGAATGTTCAAATGCTTTACAATAAGTAATTAACACAATTATTTGAAACTAAAGTGGTAGTAAACTTGTCCACCCTCAATTGCTGGTATACAAAACACCAGTAGTGCAGCTGTTGTTCTTCACAGATCCCTCACAAATGAATTGAGCAAGTCACTAGTTTCTTGGTCATCCGTATCCCCACCATAGATCCAATGGCCCTTCAGCATTGAAGTCTTGGATTGGCCAGACTACTA